TGTGTGTGTGGCCAGAAAGAAAGAGACAGAAAGCGAGAAATCACCCCCCAGAGAGGAGTCTTTGTCTTTCTGAAAAGATTAAAGAATTATATTATGCTTCATTTAATTATTTTATTTTATAAATTTGTTATAGGACACATGAGCTCACCACAGAGAGACAGAAAGGGAGGAAGGGAGAGAGACAAAGCACCCCAGGGAGATGGCCATACCATCCCTTCTTCTTTATCTCCTCTCAGATTTTGGGCACATGTGCACACATGACTGGAATGTTTTTCAAGTTGCTGGGTCTGAGACTTGAACCGCACAGTTGGCCATGTGGGATCCAGCCACTTTAATCACCATGTCACTGCTGGCCCTATTTTTATTTATTTAGCTGTATTGTTAGGAAAACCAATCTGAATTAATTCAAAATCTAAATTGAGGGACCAGCAGTTAGTGTAATGGCTACGTCGCTGGACTCCCATGTAGTCGACCACAGTTCGAGTACTGGACTTGGTGGCTTTAATTCATGATGGGCACGTGTGCGTGCATGCCCAAGATCCCAAGAGGGGAATGGAGGAGAAGGGATTGTGGCATGACCATCCTCTCTGGGGGGGTGATTTCTCGCTTTCTGTCTGTTTTTCTCTGTCTTTATGCTGAGTGCACGTGCCCTATAGCAGAAACCTCTCCAAAAACAGAAACAAAAAATCTAAATTGAAATAAATTTAATATATCGAACCAGGCTGCTTGATTGCTTGATAGGGAACCTACTTTAATAATTTGGTAAGAATGATTTTCAATTAAGTCATCAACACTATACCAAAGTATAGGTTTTTCACCATTTACTATTGTAATCTATCCAAAAAATGAATTGATTTGCCTATTTGTGCTAAGAAGTGAGTAACAGGAAATCTAATGCTGCCAAGGAACATGCAAAATTATCTTAGATAGATAAAATAATCTTATAATTTTATGTTATTAGATTAATTTTTTTGGAGAGATTTTTGCTATAGGGAACGTACGCTCACCAGAAAGACAGAGAGAGACAGAGAGACAGAAAGCGAGAAATCACCCCCCAGGGGGATGGCTATGCCACAATCCTTTCTCCTCCATTCTCTTCTTGGGATCTTGGGCACGCATGCACACGCGCCTGGTGTGAGTTTTAAGTCACCGGGTCCAGGACTCAAACCGCGGTCAACTACATGGGAGTCCAGCGACATAGCCATTACGCTAACTGCTGGCCCCTTATTAGATTAGTTTTTCAAAACATTTATTTTCCAAGCAATCAACAAATATTTATGAATTATTATACTATGGACTTAACAGTTTGCTATATTTTGGACAATGGTTTGTCCCCCAAAGACTCATATTTTTAAATTTTGTCTCCAGTATAATAGCATTGAGAGGTGGTGAGACTTTTAAGAGGTGAGCATAGCAGACAGTGATTGGATAAGAAAAAAGAAGATGGATCAGCAGATGGCATGGTGGTAAGGCTCTGGACTCCCACATGGCTGACCATGATTCCAGTCCTAGACCTGGCAGATTAAAGATCAAGCCAGGTGTGTTTGTGTGCATGCCTAAGGTCCCGGGAGGAGAAGGGAGGAGAGGGATTGAAGCATGGCCATCTTCTTTGGGAAGTAATTTTTTTAACTTTCCCTTTCACTGTCTCTGTCTCTCTCCAGTGAGTGCACGTGCCATGTGGCAATCCTTCCAACCCAAAAAAGGAAGAAAGACGAAAGAAGAGGAAAAAAAAAACATTTGAAACTTCATAGAATTTCACAACATTGAAGAGAGAGAGAGGCTCAGGGGAAAAGAATAAAGAAATATACACAAGAATGGAAAGTTATTGCACATGGTAATATCTTTGTCTTCCTTGACATGCAAAGTATGTTTTCAGAACCCGTATCATATGCTATAATGCCATACAATGAGCAAATGTAAATGAAAATAAATAAGTACAATTTTAAAACATACTATGAAAACATACATATTAACTTCTATTGTTAATTTTTGCTTTGTTCTGTTTTTTTTTTTTTTTTTGCACTTGACATTTTTTGAGAATTGTGCCACCTAGAGTACTCTGGAGGCTAAGCAGTGTTTCTTGGGCTAAACTTTGAAAACAAAATAATGGACTAAAATGGTTTTCTCTTGAATAAACCAAGAAAAGTCTTTGTTGGCAGAATCTAACTGACAAAAAATTGTCTTGCTACAGCAAAGACTACAAGGCTGTGAGAACAATCTTTTTCCTAAATAAGTCTTCAGCAAACAGAAATGGAACTAGAGGCCTGCTAAGAAAGGCGGCAAAAACAGATGTTTTGTTTTCTTTCTTTACTCCAATTTTACTTATTAATTCACAAAATCTAAGCCCTTTCAGGCCTAAATTACAATATTTACACAAATAGCAGCTCAGCAGCTTTTGCCACTTGTGTCGGTTTAAATGTTTCGTGCACCCCTTAACAGCTGCTGAGACATATTGCATGCAGGCTTTCTACTTTAGCAAGACAATTTAAAAAATGATCCCACTATCTCTCTAAGCCCATACCTGGGATTTCACACAACCAAAGTATGCTGGCTCCAAGGGTCTTCCCTGGTGTTATGTTCCTGAGTCAATGTCAGTGTGGTAATTTACAGGTTGTTCCTATTTATCATACATGATACCTTTATTCCATTGTGAACTATGAGAAGTCAGAACATGCCTATACTCTTTGTTTTGTTGTTGTATTTCTTTTTCTTTTTCATGCCTATACTCTTTATGGGGCAATATCTGAATGAATGAGCACAGGGGCCTCTTAAGAAGGATTGCAGCAAAATTAAGTCTTCCCTCTGAGGAATGCACTGCTACCCTTTACTACTTCCTCTCCCACTAGCCCAAACCCACCACCTCAGGTGTGGGCTTAGAGAGAAGGTGAGGTTGTTTTGTTAGTGTCTTGCTGAAGAAGAACCCCTGCAATGTGTTTTGGCAGCTGCTGAGGAGCATAACAAGCATTTAAATGCAGTAGAGATTCACAGTTTAAAATAAACATCAAAGGCAATCTTGAAGCAGAAAGACATCTCCCAAGAGGAGCCTTAAGGGGAACACAGCTATCTAGAGGGGTGGAGGAGTTGATACATACATTTGGACTGGTGATGGTAAGAGTGCTGATTGGAGAGGATTAGCCGGAAACCACCTTCCTGCCCAAGTGTTGTAGGGGAGGAGGTGTGTGGAAAAAAAGGAAAGAGACAAGAAAGATTCATTCTCCTTAAGTAAGTGACAAAATAAGGTAAGGTTGTGGGTTTCAATCATTTTGATCAAATTTCATTAAAGCAGGGTTGGGGCCAGATAGTAACATTCTGTGAAGCTGACACACATGGGAGGGTTCTTGGTTCCTGTCCAGAGCCCTTTCTGAATACACACGTGTGCGCATGATCAGGGGCTGGCTGACGCTGGGCATAAGATGTAGTATGAAGATCCGGTTGCGGGTGCCTTTCTCTTTCTCTCTCACTCTCTCTATCTTTCACTCATGGAAGAAACTTATTTTTTAAAAAAAGCAGGATTTTAATTAAAATCAGGAAAATGGGAAATAGGGGAAACCAGAAAATCCATCTGACAAATCCCTTTTGTCTAACATCTATGAAGTTTACCTGATTATCTCAGCAACCTTCAGTCTCCCCAAACGATCTAGTTTATTCCCCTAAGTTAACTTGGGCCTGACCAAATTTTGCCTTAGAGAAAGTAAAATGAAAACTAGTTTTTCTACCCTGACAAGTTTATTCAAGCATTGAGAATGATATTAATATATATGTGCTCTTGTGCATGTGTATTTCACTTCATACATATATATTCATCGAATCTTGGGTAATTTGATTCATTATCGCCACCAGTTAAAACAAATGGTGTTTTTTTCTATAGAGATCTGATTTATTCCTCTACTTGGTGCATTTGATGGTTTCAGAATTCTTTTGCTAATATATTCTTTCTTTTAATTTTAAAGTTTTAAGAAACTTTAGCTCAAACCATAGGAGGAGATTTTTCTTTTTTAAAATTATTTTATTTAACTTTATTTATTCATTCACTTATTTATTTCAATTTGAACAGAGCGGGATAGAGTGATAGAGAGAGAGAGAGCGAGAGAGCGAGCGAGCAAGCCGCAGGGTCCGGGACTCAAACCTCAGCCGACCATGTGGGAGTCCAGCACCCTTAACTACCACGCCACCTGCTGGCCCTGGAGGAGATTTTTCTAATAAATAGGGTGAGTCAATTTGCAGAACTGGCAATTTATAACTAGGCAACAGTACGCAGATTATCTCCCCTATGTTTACAAGATAACTAATTGTAATACGCAGAATTACAGGCTAAATATCAGAGCTTTGTTTGTTTCTCTTTTACATTTTTATGTTAAGCAGAACTGAGAACTGTGGGATCATTTCTATAGGGATTCATAACTGTATTTTCTGCCTTTCAGATATGTAAATTAAACTCAGCACATCTCTGCAGTAAAGATTCTAAATGAAATTGTAGCAATATAGGGAAAAAAAGCTTTTTAAATTCAATTTGTAAGTCTCCATCCAAATAACAAATGTATATTATTATTCATGCCATTGATTAATCTTGGATAAGGGAACACTTAGAATATCATCTTACAAAATGTGTCTTAAGCAAATCATCTTCATAGGTTAATGGCCAAATTGACTCCAACAGCACAATCTTTTGAGAAGAAATGCTTTGGCAAAAGCCTTGCTTATAGAGTTCCATAAATCACCACATAATGTGGTGAGAAATGACAGTCTGAGAAATGTCAGGGTAAGAAATGGAAGTTTCCTAGATAGAATTCTGAGATTGTTAGCCTCCCTCTTTCATCTGAAAAAGTATAAAATGTGCAGACTCTCCCAAAAAGACTTTACTTAAGCCAATTTGGGCATCATTGCCTTTGAAAGAGAATACTCTTTTACAGAAAATTGCAGGATGATGGAAGTGATGGAAAAATGTATCTCTCTAGGAAAGTTTGGAGGCATTAAGATTGTTAAGCTGAGAGGAGAAAGAAGATTCAATGGCAACTTGGAAGATTGTCTGAATATACAGAAGGTCATGGCTGCTGCTGGGACTACAGGAAACTGATAAAACAAAAACAGGCTTTAATTAAAGCAGGAAAGATTTTGGCTAAACATCAGCAAGAATTCCTTGGCAATTAGGATGATAACACCACATGGGAATGGGTAACTTCCTTTTCACAGAGACGAACAAATTGTGTGTGTGTGTGTGTGTGTGTGTGTGTGTGTGTGTGTTTCAAACACACACATGTAACTATTTAACCTAAAATTTGAAGTTTGTCCAGTCTAAATAGTGAGTGTTGGAACAAAGCATTCTATTCCCTGCTAGTAATAGTATGCAATAATACAATTGCCTCTTACCTTTTGCAACTTCAGCTTCTTTAAAATCGTCCCTGGTTGGGACCAGCAGTTAGAGTAATGGCTATGTTGATGGACTCCTAGCAGTTCGAGTCCTGGACCCGGTGTCTTAAAACTCACACCGGGCACGTGTGCGTGCATGCCCAAGATCCCGAGAGGAGAATGGAGGAGAAGGGATTGTGGCATGGCCATCCCCCTGGGGGGTGATTTCTCGCTTTCTATCTCTCTGTCTCTCTCTGTCTGTCTGGCGAGCACACGCACCCTATAGCAAAAACCTATACAAAAAATTAATTAATTAATTAATTAATAAAATCATCCCTGGTTGTCTTCATACTGATTTTTTCCCCTTGCCTTTCAGAAAATACAACCAATGTGGTAATAAAAGCTTGGGCTGAGGTTTCCTAAAAATCATATATCATCACATCACTTAACTCCTTGTCCACCATTCACATAATACTGTTTTTTTGTTTTTCTTAGGCTGGTTCTGGAGGATAAATGTAATATAACCTCTCTGACTACTTTCTAACTTTTTAATGGTGAAAATCTGAATTCTGAAACCAGTCATTCACCATGTGGAAGACTGAAGAACAGTTAAAATATGAATTTTCTAAGAGTGATAAAGGGCCTCTTTCCCACCAATGTATTGGCTGCAAGAAACAAATTTAGTCAACTCATCCAGACACATTAAGGACTTAATAAGCATAAACTCCTCCAGTCTGGTTTTAACATCTACCACTAAGTATATCTGTGGTAAATGTTGACTTAAGAAAGTTAAAGCCACAAGCACACCCATTTCAAAACAAACTTTGGCTCTCTATAGTTTGTTTGTATATCAAACGATCCATAACCTAGTACCAAAATATTCTATCACCCATTGCTATTCTTTGACACAAATCTCTGGATAATCTCAGCTAAAAGAAAATCATGAGAAATAAGGTAATTGAGAGAGTTGAAAAGTTATTTCTTCTTCATTTTGAAAATGGGTGATAAATTTCCTGTTCTAGTTTTTGAAAATGTCTGATTTGTTTTGAAAGTAAAAAAGATAACACAAGTGAAAGAAGTAGTAAAGTGCCTGACAGATGGTAAACACACACACACACAATTCAAAACCAAACAGAACTAATGCATTCAATGAGAAGGTGCTGCGCATGAATGTCAAAAAGAAAACTAAGTGGGGATGGATGATGATGTGGTAAAATTCAACACTCTGTGATGGTGTTGCACATGGAAAGGTTGCAGGTTCACATCTGGAGATCTCCCCCTGAGTATGCTGTGTACACTCATACCTACAAATGAAGCTGTATAGGGATGGGGCTTCATCGAGGCCCT